CGACGGGAAATTCATCCCCGTCGGAGACCCAAATCCCCAACAAACTGGAGACTAAGAGTTTGAGTCTCTAAGAGACTGAGAATGAGTCTATGAAAGAGAGAGAGAGAGAGAGAGAGAGAGAGAGAGAGAGAGAGAGAGAGAGAGAGAGAGAGGACCGTTGCGAAAGTTGAGGTCGGCGATGAGAGAAAATCTGAAGGGCGAGGCGATGACGACGATGACGAAAATTGAAGGAAGATTAAAGAACTGAAACTCTTCTTTAAGTATCTCTTCTCTGTCCTCTGTCTGATGTCTGACAGCGACGGGCGAGTGGCGACAGTCAACGATGGCAGTCGGTGAATCGGTGACGAAGATGAACTGACGAAGGAAGACAAACCTAGGGTTCTGTCGAAGACTCGAAGTCGAACTGGCAAGCCTTTTACTATTTAAGTGTTTTTTAAGTTTTAATCTTTTAAAAAACAAATAATAATTTTGATAATATATATATATATAATTATATTATATATATATATATATATATATATATTAATTGGGGATGAGTCAGGGCAGGGATTGCATTTCCCGTCCTCGTCCTTGTCTCTGATTAGGGATTCAGGGGTAGCCCCATCCCCGACCCTGACCCCGCCAAGGTACCCCCCATCCCCAACCCCGTCGGGTCGGGGAGCCCAGGTACCCATCAAGGACGGGGAAAATTGCCATCCCTACTAGTAGCAGCTGAGCTCTAGGCAGTAATTAAAGGCTTACATAAGTTTTTTGTATGGGTGTTAAAGCAAGTTTTTTCTATCGGATGCCAAGGAGGTTCTTATGAAGCTAAAAAGAACTGAGAAAAACATCATGTGGGATCTGCAGGCATTATATGATCATATATCTGAACTTCTCTTGTTTTATTAAAATTTTGTATGTAAACAGGGATATAGTGAAGCCAGCGCATGATCTGGCAAAGCGAGCTAAACTCCAAAACTCTTATGTGAATAGTACTCACATCCCAGTGAACCTAGCTCAAGGTTTTTTTGTTAATTGTAAAAAGGGGACCCAAATGTTCCCATGATGTTTTTAATGGGTCCTTTTTTATAGAAAAAAAATCATGTATATTTGTGTTTCTGTGTAGTTTGTCAAATTGTTACGCTACAATAGTACAACAAAAAGATATTGATATTGATATTTAAAAAATAAACAAAAAATTCCATTCTTACTAATTACATGTGACATGTATTATATATGTGCAACTTCTATAAATGTATACAAATGCATGTCAATTATTGAGGGAAAAAATTTTCCAAAGCATATTAAATTATTAAGGTATTATAGCTGATAAGGGCAACTTTTAGGCTCTAATATCAATAAAAATAATCATTTTAATATAATTTATAAAATTGGTTAACTTTTTTAAAAAAATATATCAAAAAAGGGTAAAAACATTGTTCATCTTCTTTCTCCTCCAAACCACTGAATAAATCTCTCTCAAGCATAAATTTCTATTTTTTGTTCGCCCTTGTGAAAAGAAATACTAAATATCCATAACCCATATGGGCTTTGCAAACAAAACCCAGTTATGAGAATGCACCAATCAATCTTTAATTTAATTCCTCTAGGCATAAACCAACAAACAAAACCCAATACCCAGATGGGCTTTGCAACTCGCTCTCATCCATACTACTTGCCCACTCCATCACCGATGAGCTGCACCCAGATGAAGATGACAACATTGACGACGACCACGATCTCCTTGTCGTGTTCAAAAAGCCTCTGTTTATTCTCTTCCACTCGAACATACTCATCCCAATCCCACCACTGATTGGTGTCATCAGATTGGCATTGTCAGAGGTGGGCTGAGGCAGCAACAACGACACTAGTGGATGGTGGTCATTGAGGTTTGCAGGGTTAGGGCGGAAGCAAGATGGGAAAAATATTTATTAATCTTGAGAGTGATTTATTAGGTGGTTTGGAGGAGGAAGAAGATGAACAGTGTTTTGCCCTTATTTGATATATTTTTAAAAAATTAACTTATTTTAGAAATTATATTAAAAGGATTATTTTTATTAATATTAGGGCCCAAAAGTTTCCCTTATCAGCTATAATCCCAAAAATGAATGGCAATTTTAAAAGGCTTTAAAAATTTTATTAAGGGTCATTTACTAGAACACCCCTTATAGTTTCACAGATTTACTTAAACCTATCCTATAATATGCATTTTACTAAAACACCCCTTATAGTTTGCAACCTATTTACTTAATTGACCTTTAATTACGAATTATTCGTTTTGCCATATGAAAATAGTAGCATGATCACCTAAACTAATCGGAAAACATTTAAGGGCATAGACCCATGGTTGTTTCCAAAAGTACTCCTAAACTGAGTGGAAAATGTTCAAGGGTATGGATCCATGGTTGTTTATTCCAAAAGCACCCATGACACTTTTTTTTTGTATAGAAAACGAAATTGGCCAGCTAGAGAAAAATAGAGTGGTTGTCTTTGTTTTATTAGGGGCAAAAATGACAATTTTGTTTTTAATTTCTTTCGATTAAATTTTTTAATGGATGTTAGTGTTAAAACTGCCATTTTCCACTTTCATCTAATGAAAGGTCGATTAAGTAAATTTATTACAACTTATAAGGGATGCTTTAGGCTCAGTTTGGAAGGAGTACAAATACAAATTTGTAGAATGCAAAATCTTGTATTTTGTATGTATTTGCACAGTATATATTTGTATTTGTACTCCTACCAAGTTGAACCTTAGTAAAACACAAACTATAGGGTAGGTTTTAGTAAATTCATAAAACTATAGGGGGTGTTTTARTAAATGAGCCATTTATTAATTATATGGGGCCATCTTAAATAATAATTTGGTACAAAGGAGATAAGCTGGCATCTTATCTAATAAACAGAAACCATACCATACACCATCTTCAAATATACAAGTAGTTTTTCAAACTACATGATACAATATACATCATTTAAGTAATTTCTCAAACAGAGTATATATAAATAATTATCCCAAAATACAAACACATTGTTAAACTGTGTTTTAAGATGAGGTTCTTCATACTGTCTCTTTTCATTTAATTAGGGTTTTGAAATGTGGAAGGAGAAAGAGAGGCTGTGATCAAGTTTCACGTTTGGTTTGAAGGAAAAGGTAGGGAAAGGAAATGAAAGACAGAGAAACCAATACAAGGTTTATAAAGGTTTTCTTATCTTTTCTTTCCTTTCCCTACATTTTCCTTCAAACCAAGTGTTAAAAGCTGAGGAATAGTGGCTTAGTTTGGTCTTGATTCTGATCTTTGGAAGCACTCCATGGGTGTATCAGACTGAAAGTATCAGATAGACTTTTTTTTCATTCACATCAAGCAATCCTCTATGCGTGGACGTGGGTCAAGCCATAAAAAGTCACCAATTGTTCAATCATAGGAGCAGATTCACCATAAAACAGATCAACTATACCTCTTTAATCAACCACTCAATCATGGAAAATCATATTCTATACAAAAGACTCTGTTTGTGCATCCACTTAATTAAAATGTGCATCCCAACAATAACTCCCTACCCCTTTAGGAGAGCCACATGGACTTTGGGTAATTCGTTTTAAAAGGTTTTATTTAAGTCTAATAAAAGTTAAAACCTTCAGTAACATATGTAATTGTAATAGTGATAGGGCTCTCTGTCGCCAAAATGATATTTGGTAAGTCTGTTGATTAAATAAATGTTTGTTTCGGTTGATAGCATCTAATAGCGTCTTTTGTGTAAGTGCTACTTGTGTAAGTGCTTAATAGCATCTAATAGCGCCTACCTGTCAAACAACAATAAAAGAACCGTTTATCAACTGTTTTTCCTCGGTTTTAAAGATAAACCAAGTACAAATGTTTTTCAAATAAAGGGAAATAATGCCAAACATCGTCAGTTTAATGAGTTCCTTCTTCCTCCGAGCGCAACATTATAATAAAGTAAACTTACCTGTCAAACAACAATAAAAAAACCGTTTATCAACTGTTTTTCCTCGGTTTTAAAGATAAACCAAGTACAAATGTTTTTCAAATAAAGGGAAATAATACCAAACATCATCAGTTTAATGAGTTCCTTCTTCCTCCTGGGCGCAACATTTTAATAAAGTAAACGTAAAATAAACAAATACAGCTTTGAAACATTTTAATTTTTATAGGGGGAAAATGAAAACTTAATAAAGGAGAAAAAACAATACAATTAAAATAAAAAAAGAGACGTCTTACGTTACAGAGACATCGTTATTAAACCTCACACACTCTGACTCACACTTAATTTAATGATCGACTTCAAACTTCAAAGTATTCAAGCATTCCCCCCAACTATATATGTTGGCCTTCACTAACGAGTCACGACTCAGTGAGCAGGAACAGCGGGGAGACTGTGCAACACAACCGTCTCAACAGTCAGACCGGGTCCGAACCCGAACAGAACACCCCACTCCAATCCTTCACCCGTTGTGGCCCTCCCTTCCTCTACAGACTTCTTCCTCATCTCATCCAGAATAAACAACACACACGCACTGGACATGTTACCGTATTCGCTCAAGACGTTCCTCGTTGCTCTGAGCTTCTCCTCTTTCAGGCCCAGTTTTTCTTCGACCTGGTCCAGAATGGCCGGGCCACCCGGGTGAGCGATCCAGAACAACGAGTTCCAATCACTGACACCAATCGGGGTGAAGGCTTCAACCAGGCTCTTCTCGATGTTCTTAGAGATCAACCCGGGTACGTCTTTCAACAGGTGGAATGTTAGGCCAACTTCGCGCAAGTGACCATCGATGGCTCCATGAGAATCGGGAAGAATGGTCTGCGCCGCCGACACAAGCTGGAACAGAGGACGTTCGATGGACGTGTCGGGATCAGCTCCGACGATCACGGCTGCTGCTCCATCACCGAAAAGAGCCTGACCCACAAGAGAATCCAAGTGGGTGTCAGAGGGTCCACGGAAAGTGACGGCCGTGATTTCAGAGCAGACGACGAGGACACGCGCGCCGGCGTTGTTCTCGGCGAGGTCCTTGGCGAGGCGAAGCACGGTGCCACCAGCGAAGCAGCCCTGTTGGTACATCATGAAGCGTTTGACGGAGGGGCGGAGGCCGAGGAGCTTGGTGAGTTGGTAGTCAGCACCCGGCATGTCTACACCAGAGGTGGTACAGAAGACCAGGTGCGTGATTTTCGATTTGGGCTGACCCCATTCCTTTATGGCCTTTGACGCAGCTTCTTTTCCGAGCTTGGGCACTTCAACCACCACCATGTCTTGACGTGCATCAAGGGATGGAGCCATGTAGGCGCAGATGTTGGGGTTCTCCTTAAGAATTTCCTCCGTTAGGTGCATGTAACGTTTCTTTATCATAGATTTCTCGCCTGTTAATAATTAACAAATAACAAGTTATAGCAATAGTTTTTTTTTTTTTAAATTAAACATGATTAAATCGAGAGAGAGAGAGATTAAATCTCCAAAGTCTATACTGCTTACACATTCTCTTGAACTTCTCCTTCAGTTCGGTTTTGTGCTCGCTGTTAGTGATTCGGAAATAGTAGTCCGGGTAGTCAGCCTGGTAGACACAATTGGCTGGAGTTGCAGTGCCAATGGCAAGAACGGTGGCCGGACCCTGAGCGCGCTGGGCGTTGCGAATTTCCTCGACGGACACCATTGTTTCGTTGATGGAGTGGGATTTGTTGGACGTTCGTTCGAAACCGAGCGAGCCCGAAACTCGGTCTCTGCAACGAAGAAAGAAGCAGGTGAAAGCTCAACTCAACTGGTTCTAGTCTTTCTAGCTACTTCCCAGCGAGTTGGAGAGCTCGTGAGTGATGTGGTGGGTTAAAATGGGAAGCAGCTGCTTGAATTTATAACGTGTGAGGGGTAGGTTGGATGGAGGGGCAGATGAGTTACCACGTGGGTTGATCGATATGACAATATTGGTGTTAGCATGCGGTGGCCGTCGTCGCAACGTGGCTAGCTTCTTTCCTTTTTTTCCCTTAAAAAAACTAATCTTATTTTCGGAACTATTACTATTTCCTTCCATGATTTCGGACAACGAATTAAATGTGACATGTGCTGCATTCAGTGTTCAGGTAGAGGAAGTCAAGACTCGAGAGGAAGAGGAAGAGGAAGTGGGGTGGCCGGGTGGGTAGTTTGATCATTGAATGTATAACTTGGTAGTGGGAATACAGTACTCCAGTTTGTTTGGTAGGTTGAACGTCCAGTCCCCACACCCCAACCAACCACCACCAAGTTTGAGCCGGTATTTTTCCGGTTGTTTTGTCTCGATGGCCCGACCGGGTTGCCCATGGGGTACGGTACTTTTTGTCACTTCTTAATAAGTAATACGTGTACCAGTCGCTCAACTTCATTAATACGCATCAACTACCTACCCACACACAGGATACTAGTTGGTATGGAGATGTTCTTAATATTCTTGTCTGGATTCAATACGCATACCCCAACTGAATTGGGATGTCACAACTTAGAATCTCCCAGAGTTAGGGATGCAAATGAATCGGATCATAATTTGATTCGTTCTGAAGTTTGATTTTATATTTTTGGATAAATTTATCTCTATTTTGGATTTTTAGATCGGAGTGGATGATATGGTCTTATCATAAAACAAATAGAATACAGCTCCCCCTTATCCGATTTGATATATATGTTATTTATTTATGTATAAATATATTATTTATATTGTATTTTTGTAAATTTGTCATATTATTTATTTTTTTATAAAAATTATATATATGATGAAAACAGTTAAAAATATATTTGTATTTTTTATATTTCTTTATTTTATTTTTCTCTGAATAATTTATATTTTTAAATCAAATCAGATCGGATCAAATTTGAATATCTGAGTTTTTCATTGAATTCAAATTTAAATCCATGTTTATGAAGTCCTATTGGATCTACAATTATTAATATCAGATCGAATTTCAATAATACTTTAATTCAAATCGGATCCAATCCATTTGCATCCGTACACGGAATTGAGTGGTGAAGTGTGTCCGTGTGAACTGTGTTGTTGAGTCACGGGTTGAACGTATTTAGTTAAGTTGAAAAATGGATGGCCCGGATCAACTGGGTCATTATACATTGGGAATTGGTACAGTTAAGTAAGCCCCATATGTTCGTGACTGTGACATCCTTAATTTGGCCTTAGAGTCTCAGGCGCAGAGGGCCAAAGGTGAGAAGGCCAGGTGGCATAGAGTCCACAAAATAGCACCATCCCCACCTAGAAAATATAGAATGGCTGTTACTAACGGTAACGGTAGACAAGGTGAGGAGGTTGTTGGGGGGTTTGGGCTGCCGTTTGTAGTTTGTTCGTCGTATATGGTGACCACTAGGAATGGTTGGAAGGCGTGTGCGCTGCGTGTTCTACATACAATTTAATAATATTGTTAGGCTTACAATTCCAAACTTGGCTTGTCGTCCACTCGTCCTACCAACCAGGTCCATTTCGAACCAGTTTTCTTTGCTTCCTTTTAGATCGGGACAGGCCCGGGATAGAAACTTCAATGTTCTGTATCCAAATTTGATTCGTTAATATCCAGATTCAAGTTATTTGATTCATAGTCTTACATTCAATTTTGATGCTAAATTCAAGTCAACACCTCCAAAAAGTTTGAATGCGCCAAATTTTATCTTAAAAGGCTTAAGCCTTGAAGTGTGACTGTGTGAGGCCTATTATCGATTTTACCTCTTAAGCATCACAAGTCATAATTTTAATATAAGGCTTGACCTTTGTTAGAAAGAGGTGTAAGGCTAAAGCCTAAGCCATGGGCATAAAAAATCAAGATACTTTTTTTTCTTACGTAAATGTGGAAGTGCTTTGCACGTTAAATTTTAAATTACAATAACAATTATCATCATCATTATTATTGTTATTATTATTTAATTTTGTGTTTCATTTTCATTATAAATAAAAATAATTTTTATTTAATATGGTGAATATATAACATTAGAAATGTCCTCAAATATTTTTGACAAAATTGTATACTTTTCATTTTTTTGTTCTATCTTTTTTAAATATTTATTATTCATCATTAATAAAAATATTTATTACATTTCATACTTAGTTTTATTTAGTATAATGAATATATAATATTAGAGATATGCTCAATTCCTTTTTTTGTATTTTTATATATTATTTATTTTGATTTTTATTATTTGATTATGGCATTATTGGTTAACCCATTTAATCCAAATGGTTGAATTGCTTACCACCACTAGAATGAAAGAAAATGGTTTTGTTTTCAAATTATTTTTCAAAATATTTATTTTTATATTATTAAAATCAATGTTATGGATTTAATTAATAGAATTTAATGATGAGAAAAATATATCTTAAATATATACCTTAGGTATGAGACTTAATGAGTGAACAAGAAAATAATTTAATTTCCAATTGGTTTTAAATTTTATATTCTACTTCTATCATTAATTGATGTATTTCTTATTTATCATACTTATTCTTGTCTAATATGATGAATATATGATATTAAAGATGTTCCCAAAATTTTCTTTAATTTATTTTTTTTTCATTTTATCAAGTTTTAATTTTTTTTATTTAATTGTGGCAACAATGCAACATGGGTTTGCCTATTTGACCCAATATTGTTTAATTTTTTACCACCACATAAAAATAATGCTTTTCCAAGCCAATTTCAAAAGTATATGTTATTAGAAATATTCATATATGGATTTAGTTAGTGGAATTGAGTAATTAACAGAAACAAAAAAATGCCTTAAATGTATGGTTAAATGAGGGTGAATGAGAGTTAATACTTTAAATGGAATTTAATGAGAGGGAATTGAATGCAATGAATAATAGTATTCAAATTACTTTTTCTGCCCTCATAATAAATAGGGACCCTATTTCAAAAAAGTGTATTTTAGTCCAAAAAAATCCAAAAATCTTGACCCTATTTGCACTTTAATTTCTATATTTTTTACATTTTATCTAGTTTTAATTTTTTATTATTTAATTGTGGCAACAACGCAACATGGATTGGCCTATTTGACCCAAAATTGTTAATTTCTTATCACCACATAAAAATACTGCTTTTCCAAGTCAATTTCAAAAGTACAAGTTTTTATGTTATTAGAATTATTTATGTATGGATTTAATTAATGGAATTTAGTAATTAAAAGAAAGGGAAATTGTCTAAAACCCACCAACACTTTTTATGAATTATCTTAAACTCAACATAACTTTTCAAAACGTCCAAAACCCACTATGTCAGTGAGATTTTATTTTATAAAATTAACCATCCGTTAGAACACCATTAATGTTCATTGATCCAAGTTGTCCACATCAACCTGAATGCAAGTTTCATGACCAAACTGCCCTTAAATAATGAGTCAGCTTGTTAAATAATTTTTTAACCGAAATGCCCTTAAGCGCCCGATCCTATTTCATATATAATATTCCTGCTCACTTTCTCCCTCCCTCGGTTTTCGTATATTTCCTAAAACATTCTAACGTCTTTTTCTATTATTTTTTATTCAAAGGTTTATAGGGAAGAGGGAACCCAGGAAACAGTGAAAGACGTTGCTCAGAGCCATTCACTCACCAGTCACCACCTCTGCTAACATACGCTCCTCTCCACTACTCTCTGCTCTCTGCTCTCTCTCACTTCAAGACTCCTTTTGACTGGACAATGGCCATGCCCCCCGGTCCGCCACCACTATCGCCATCGTTACCACCACCCATGGCGACCACTACAACCACACTTCTCTTCCTCCCCGTGGTGTTCTCCGCCACCACCCTGTTATATTGTGCCCAGAGGAGTCCTGAAGTAGGGTTGTTCATAAGAAGGCCCAACCCGACCAAACYGACCAACCCGGACCGACCCAACTTGATTCGGTCGGGTTTTCATCAGCACCGGTCGGTTTCGGGTTAGGCAAATTCATAAACCGATATATCGAGTCGGTTTCAGTTTTCACACATGAAAACCGAAACTGACCCAAACCGAACCGAATCAATTAGTCTTCTAGCTCGGTAGTTCCTACTTAACTAGTCTTCTACTTCCTACTTAACTAAATTGTATCTATCCTAGTTTCTATAGTCTTTTTCACCAAATAGGCAACCCATTAGGCAATTACAATTAGAATTAGGTGTCATTTTTTACATAGATTAGAATTTAGAAAGTTTCTTGAAATATAAATATTTCACCATTCTTTCTATAAAACAGTTTGACTTTTTATTTTATTCATAACTTTTGTCTTCTATTAGAATTAGGTGTCCTTTTTTACCTAAATTGTATCTATCCTAGTTTTTATAGTCTTTTACACCAAATAGGCAACCCATTAGGCAATTACAATTAGAATTAGGTGTCCTTTTTTACCTAGATTAGAATTTAGAAAGTTTCTTGAAATATAAATATTTCACCCTTCTTTCTATAAAACATTTTGACTTTCTATTTTATTGGTAACTTTTGTCTTCTCTTCTATTCTCTAACTTGGTCCGCCTCCCTCAAGTCCTCAACTCAAGACATCATTTGATTTTTGAACTTGGCTCTCCCAACTCTCCCATCTTCTCAAATAAATTTCCTTCTAGTTCTAGGCTTCTTTGTCCTTTTGTACAAGAGCAAAACCGAAACCGACCCAACCCGACTCAAACCAACCAGGTTGGTTTTGCCTATTAGTGGGTCAGCTTCGGTTTCCACTTTAGGTAACCCTACCAAGACAGGTTAGTTGGGAAAACCCCAGTAAACCGACCCAACCTGACCGGTGAATAACCCTATCCTGAAGCACTAGTTGAGATTCAGGCTTTGGTATCGTTCAAACTCAATCTACATGACCCGCTTGCCACGTTGAACGGCCGGGATGCTTCCACACCAT